GGGCTCCGTGTGTGCCGACCCGGATGATCTTTCCCGTTCGTTTACGGCCAGGTTCGCGGTTCCCTCGAGAATCTTCGAGGAGCCGAGATTGATGGTTTGAATGTTGATCAAATGTAGAAATGGGAAGAAAATAGAGAAATCTTTGTAATGAATTGGCTTTGTAATGTGATGTTATGTTTATATGTGATTTTTTTCTTATATTATTATTTTATTAATATTATTATTATTATTATTATTATTATTATTATTATTATTATTATTTAGGGGGTTTGAATCCATGTTTGTATTGTCTTCATTTACAAGTAAAGTTGGGTGCTTTATTAGGGTTAGTTTCCCTTTTTTCTTCATCGGCGTGATGCATTTGAAGATAAAATTGGACTGTTGATTTATTCATCACTTTTTGGTTACATATATAATAAAAAATAATAATGAAGTTCTAAATTGTATGTCATGTATTTTATCGGTGAATTTTTTCCTACCTAATCACACGATTTTATTTATTTATTTATTGTTATTGATCAACACAAACCCACGGTATATAGTTAAATTAGTGGTAAACAGAACCGAGCCGAAACCGAAAAATTGAATCAAACAGTGCAATTCGGTTTAGTTCAGTTTTTTAAATGTAAAAAAGTTTCGGTTTGGTTATTTTCTGCATTGCGGTGCGGTGCGATTATAATTTTCCATTAGTTCGGTTTTCGATTTTATTCGGTTCGGTGCGGTTTTGAATCGAACCGCACCAAATTGAATGAAATATATAGAAAAATTGAACTAAACCTGAAAATCGAACCGAAACGTGCATTTCGGTGCGGTTCTGTTCGGTTATTTTAGTGTAAAATAAAATCGGTTCGGTTTCAGTTCGGTTATTTTAGTGTAAAATAAAATCGGTTCGGTTTTATTTAAGGTTGCGGTGCGGTTCGGTTAATTTTTTTGCCAAATTCAGTTTTCTGTTTTTTGCGGTTCGGTACGGTTTTTCACCGAACGACAACGTTGCTCACACCAATCCAACAATAAAAGCACGATATTAACCTTTTTTTTTTTAATATTTTTTTGGTATTTTGATTCTCATTCTCGATCTTCTTCCAAAAGTGGGCATGAATCAATACAACACAGGCCCAAAAAGTATTCATCCTTGAGCCCAAGTCGTTCTTGATTTTAGTTTGCCTGTTGAGGTGTAATTAATTGTCTCAAGAACATTATCATGTATCAAATTTCGATTTATGTTCACAACAAAAAATGTCTTCATAGTCTCTCTAGAACGACTCAAAATGGTTCTAAAATATTTTTTTTTTTTTTTTGGTGCAATAAAGAAGGCCACAAGCCTAAGACAGAGTTTGTCGGGATAAGACACCCCTATGTTATCATGCTAATATACATTCGAACAATGGATTATGACAACATGTACAAACTAGTGTATAAGTGAAATACATAAGCAAGCATATATAACATCAAACCTCAAAAGAAAATCAAATGGTTGACCTTACAAACCAACACTTAAGCTTACACTAGAGAAAGCCCACATACAACCACTGCAACATAAAAGCTACAATCGATAAACACAGCACGAACAGTCTGATGCAGAACGAGTCCCCACTCGAGCAGCTTGACGGCTCCATCCCAATTATTATCACCGATATTTTTCTTCTTATTGTTATCATTATGGCCACCGAGTCCTTCCAATTCCGCATCTTTATCATCAACCTCTTTACCTTCCGAGTAAAGTGCCAATCGTGCGGCCACTAGCAACATGTCGGTCAACAAAAGCGCGTACAAAGGCCGATAGGCTATGAGGCTATTGGACTCGACGACATTATGCGGGAGATTGACGTGGGACAAGACTACAAGGATTGCAATCACGAGGGAACAAATTACGCGCGTGTTTTCAGAGGAGATTATGCTGAAATTGATTTCTTTTGGGGATATCGAGCTAAGATGGTACTCGAATGGCTTGTATGGATAGTCAGGTCGTACGCCGCTCTGTAGTGATAGCACATTGACCTCTTCTCGGTTGAATTCTTTAGCTTCGGAAACATTAATAAATTTGAAAAAAAAAAATGGATCATTTGTAAAATAGAATGAAGGGCAAATTTCTATTGCATAAAAACACAACAAACACCATAATAATACATGGTTTCTTTTTTTTTAACCTCACTAAATTCATATCTTCAAAACAATAATAAAACAAAAATCAATAATTTGGAAGAATTTATTCAAATTCATCTTTTAACTAATATGATCATATTCAAGTTCAAGCACGGACGTACCATTGGCATAATCTTGAAACTGGGCTCCATCTTCCTCGTTAGGGCTTTTAGTTGGATCGGGTTTGAGGGTCCGATCCGATATGGACGCCATCCGACCCGTCCCTTGAGAGGCTATACTTCGACTCCTGATTTCTCTCTCCATCTTTCTCTTTGATCTGTATTTCAGGCAGAACAATTTTTTTGGACGCAATATGTCTATTTACGTATGTTTCTTTCATGAGTGGTTGAGGCATATTTTCACTATCAAATTTCATATTTTTAGTAATAAAGGAATTTACTTTAAAATAATGCTGTATTTTTACAAGATATTATTAAATAACTTTTTGATTAATTTTGGATTTATGATAAATACATAGGTTTTTTTTTTTTTATCTTAAATGTCAACTTTTTGTGTTTCACAATAACTAGTATTTGATCTTGTACGCGTGCACAGATGTTTAAATTATTATAAGTTATATGTATGTATATAATATTAAAATCATAGGTTATATAATAAATCACATTTTAAAAATTTTGTCATTAATAAAAATGAACATTATAAAAGTATTCAAATTCGTCACTATATTGATTGTATAAAGTAAAATGGATAATGTAGTTTTTATAAATTTGAGAGATCTTGGCCTATTAGTTATCTTAGAAATTATTATTATTATTTATGAATTTTTAAGAGGGTTGGTTATACCAATAAAGCCAATTAGCTTATTAAAAAATTCTTAAGAACAAAAAATAGTTTAAGAAAATACTTTGTAATATAATTTTTTATACTTATTGAACTTCAATATATCATTTAGTGTGAATTATAATTGGTTAGTTTTAATAATTGTAAATATATCATAAAATAATTAAAAAAATACAATTTAATTAACCATTATTAAAAAATCATTGATTAAGTTTCAGTTACCGTTTATAAAAAAAATATTGAATTGTAACAAAAAAAATATAGAAAAATTAAATAGTTTTATTAATTTTTTGTTAGCAGTTATATATATGGATCAAATATTCATTGATTAGTGAGTTGTTTAAAGTTTTATTGATTAAAAGAAAAAAAAAAATAAAGTAAACATTCTTTTAAAGGAAAAATAATAGTAGTTGTTGAAATGGTATTATTGCTCCCTTTACAAACCAACCAATATAAACTGTATTACGTCAAATGCGTATTAGTTGAAATAATGTGGCACACAATATTCCGTGAAATAAACTGGGGAAAAACGGGTGTGGGCCAACTAACATGAAACGCACTATAAGTTGTGAAAGCTATATGAAACTCAAGTAGGGTTCATCCCAAAACTAATTGGTGGAAGGAGGAGTAGCTCATCAGACTTATAAGATGGGTCTATTTTCCAGTGTTTTAAATACCGTACCGGTGGTCATACCGGTCAAGCCACCGGTACGCGGTATTATCGGTAGGACCGGTAATATCAATGGTATTACCGGATCACCAAATATAATGATATATATAAATATACATAAAAAAATATATAATACAAAGGCAAAAAAAGTAAAAAATAAAAATAAATGACCATAGTCATTAATTTCAACTTCTCAATGAGATTAAAAATAAAAATTTTAACTACCAATTTAAATTTATATTTAAAATTAAAAAAATATTTTTTTTTATTGACCGGTATTTGGGACCGGTATTTTGCGGTTGTTACGGTATGCTCCCGGTACAAATCGATATAACCGTAAATCCGGTATTTTGAGTGTAATTGTACCATACCAATGGCCGGTATGCGGTATTACCGGCCAATATGGTACGGTATTTAAAATATTGTTATTTTCCATATATGAACGATGTGAGACAATTCACAAGTGATATTCTAACACGCCCCCTCACTTGTGAGTCCTTCGAAAACCCAAGCCCAACTGGGTTGGGTGCCCCAAGCTTTATTAAAAATATGCTCCCATAAATGGGTACGTGGGCCCAAGCCCTACACGCTCCCGTAAACGGGTACGTAGCCCCAAGCCCTACTAGAAACAGGTTGGATAAACGGGTACGTCATCGCACGGTTCCACATAGAACCGACTCTAATACCATGAAAGAAACTAGGGAAAAACAGGTGCGGGCCCACTAATTTAAGCACACCATATGCGGGGAAAGCCCATATGAAGCCCAAATTGCGTTCTATTCCAAACCCAATTGGTGGAAGGAAGAGTAACCCATTAGACTTATAAAGCGGGTCTATTTTTTATGTATGAACGATGTAGGACAATACACAAGTGATATTCTGGTCAAAAGTAAATTAACTTTGGGGTATAAAAGAATGAACATTTTGGTTAAAAATTATTAAACAAAAACACAAAACAATGGGCATTTTAAATTAAATATTTTCCAACTTGTAAAACTAAAAAGCTGATTCAGATATATACTTGAAAATAATGAACATTGAATATAAACAAATAAATTTTAGTTAAGAAATTACAATAACTGGACATTCTATGATCTTTAGTCGTAAAATCAATATTAAAATAAAATTTTTAACAGCATAATTGTTTGTTTTTTTTTTTTTTTGGTCAAAATTTGTACATGAGGGGAGAAACCAACCAAAACCGAACAAATTCAGTTCGGTTCGTTTTGAGTAATTAAATGTAAAAGAAAATAATCATTTTTGTACGCAAGATTTATTTTTCATATTTACTATTTAGTACGACCTTGCATGAACCGAGCCAAATTAAATATAAATTTATAGAAAAATAAATGAAGACCAAAAATCGAGTTGAATTGCGATTTAGTGAAGTTTGGTTCGATTAATGATTATTTATGTGTTATTATTTTTTAGAAAGTCATTTTTTTTTTTTTCAATTTTGTGTTGCTCACCTATTTTCTTTGTTACCTTATTTCTTTTCCATAAATTCTATGGAGCTATCGGATACTCCTTTATGGAGTCATCCATAACTTGATGTACTGACGCATGTTTAATGTGCATTTATTATTGTAGGATACGTATCAATACATCATTTGTGAGTAATCGTGGATGACTTCATAAGCTAAGTCATCAGATGACACCATAGCAAAACCGTCTTTCCTATATAACTCACTAGTACGAATCCCGTGCGATGCACGGTAAGAAATATTTATTAATA